ATATAAAACAAATAAACAAATACATTATTTGTTTATTTATTTTTACTAGCTAGTTAATATATATATTCAAATGGTTTCTTTATCGGAATGCACAATATACAAAGGCCTTAACAATAGCTGCAGCTAAACCCTAAACCCTAAACCCTAGCAATCAAAGCTAAGAAAACCTCTCAACCCAAACCCCCTCAGGGCTATTCTTACAGGGCCTCCATAATTACAAGTAAAAAAATAAAAAAGAAATTAATTAATTATTTATTTATTTGAGAAACAAAAAAGAAACAGCTTTGTTCTTAAGATTTTATTTACTTCGATAGAAGATGACGCTCTCAAACCCTAAACCCTAAACCCTAAACCCTAAACCCCCAAGGGGGCCCCTTGAGGGGCCCCATCGATCCGAAGGTAAAGTTGGTGGTTGAGGCGTTGTAAATAATATTTGTTTTAATATTTTTGTTTTTATATTTATTTTATCTGTTTTCTCGTTGGGGTGTATATCCAGTTGCTTGTATTAAAAGGAGGAAGCCGCCATGGCCAGTGCTGCCTCAACCGTAAACGCTAAACCCTAAACCCTAAACCCTAAACCCTAAACCCTAAACCCTAAACCCTGAACGGCAATGCAGGGTGTTGGGGTGTATATCTTTCCTTCGCTGCTGCAAGCAGCAAGGAAGCCTTTCTTCTCTTATCGACATTCTTTTGCTGCTGCACTGTCTATACACCCCAAGCCTCTTCATTATGCAGGTCTTTACAATAGACTGTCTATACACCCCAAGCCTCTTCATTATGCAGGTCTTTACAATAGCTGGGCATACACCTCAACTAATCTTACGAGGTGTCTGTACACCGCAAGCTGCAAAGGGGGAGCTCTTCCAAGCCTTTACTCTGGCTTTGATGCATGCAGACAATCAGAAATGTTTATTAAAATAAATAATAAAAGTGGTTTTCACTCTGCTGCTGTACACCTCAACAATGCGCACATACCTGAGGTGCCTGTACACCCCAACGCCTCTACTCCTGCATCTTCAACCAATAATAATATGCAGCAGAGTTTTAAAAATACTAAAGAAGAAAACAAACAACAAACGGAGAACCCCTTCGCTGAAGCAGACAGGTAGAGACAAACAAACTGAGAAACAGCAGCAAAAATATATACAGCAGTAACAGCAGCAGCAGCAACAGCAGCAACAGCAGCAGCAGCAGCAGCAGAATCATTCGCTCGAGATCTTGTGCTGATTGAGTCTGCAGATTTGTAAAGGAAGGATACAGGCTCCCTGTGGGCCTCTGGCTGCTGGGTGCGTTTAGGGTTTAGGGTTTAGGGTTAAGGGTTTAGGGTTTCGAGTGTATATTGCACACAGTGGGTGTTCTTTCATTGGTGTTTTAGGGTTTAGTGTTGCCTTCTTTCTGCGTGAGGGTATGCGTCTTGGGTGTTTGGTTTGTTCTTGTTTGGGGATTTAGGGTTTAGGGTTTAGGGTTTAGGGTTTGCGTATAGGCTGCACTTGCTGGGTGTTTGGACTGGTGTTGTTCGGGGGTTTTACTCGGCTAAGTGAGAGCGGCCTATCGATGACATCGTGGCGTTTATGCGGCACTCGCTGGCCTTCAACGGATGAAGAATGGCAGAAGGAGTTTAATGCGTACAAGGTAAACCCTAAACCCTAAACCCTAAACCCTAAACCCTAAACCCTAAACAACCCGCGGCACTATAGGGGCCCTTGCGTCTGTTGAGGAAACAGCTTTCAAAAACCCTAAACCCTAAACCCTAATCTTCATACTCTATTCATTCACGCGCGCTGCATTGGCTTCTGTTGGGTCTGTTGTACTTGCTTTAGAATTAGGGTTTAGGGTTTAGGGTTTAGGGTTTGGAGGTTGGCTGGTCTGCTTGCTTGGATTTTTTTGCTTTGTTTATGGTTTGTTTATTTTATGGGCAGTCATATTAAAATGTGTTTGTTATTATTATTATTATTATTATTATTATTATTACTTTAGTATATTTTGTTTGCTGATTCTGGATCTGCCTATACACCCGAATAATTTGCGGGTGTTTTCTGTTACCTCAGCATACACCTGAATATCTGCAATTAAACAACGGCATGACGATCGATGAATATAAAAAAATTTATTTTGTTGAATGGATGCATAGATGGTTAGGCAGAGGCCTCGGGGTTTTCTTCGCTTTAGGGATGTGTGCATGCGCTCTTACACACTGTATTAAACCCCCTCTTGCTCTCAAGCTGACCCGTGCGTAAACCCTAAACCCTAAACCCTAAACCTTAAATCGTAAATGTAGCGCCGGACATGCAGAGAATCAACCGCTGCATGCGTCGTATTAAACCCTCTCTTGTGTTCAAACTCACACATTCGTAAACCCTAAACCCTAAACCCTAAACACAGGGCCTGGAATGTCTAGCCCAGAAAAGGCGCCCGCAAACAACCCCCGCCTTGAAGATTTCCGCTACACTGCTCCTCTTGATGCTAGGGTTTAGGGTTTAGGGTTTAGGGTTTAGGGTTTAGGGTTTAGGGTATGTGCGCTCAGTGTGCGGAGCACTTGGAGGCGTCCAGGGCCTCGTAGGTTGGTGGATGGTCCGATCAGGGTTTCAAGAGCCTCAAACGGAAGTCAAAACCCCAAGGTAAACCCTAAACCCTAAACCCTAAACCCTAGCTGTGTGGGTGCTTTGTAGTTCCTGGAGTGCCGGCTGTCAAATTCGGGGGTCTATGCACTGCAAGAAACCCTAAACCCTAAACCCTAAACCCTAAACCCTCGTTTTAGTTTCAGGCTCTTTGCTTTTAGGGTTTAGCCGCTGCCTGCCGTGAGGTGGTGGATACGAAGGAGGCGCCATTAGGGTTTAGGGTTTAGGGTTTCGGGTTTAGGGTTTGTATGTGTTTTGAAAAGGGTTTCTCCTTATCGCTTGGCTTTTCACCTACTGATGGCTGGGGGTTTGTACACCGTATTGCTGTGGCAGACGCTCTCGCTGCTGCTGCCTACCCCGGCGAGAGCAGCAGCAGCAGCAACAACAGCAGCAGCAACAGCAGCAGCAGCAGCAGCAGCACGTAAAGATGCGCATGCATTTGCAGCCATTGCTGCACTTACCTTCTCCTCGGGGGCTTTCGTTGCAGGCAACGATGCCGGCAGATGCTGCAACACCTGGCCCAAGATGGGGGATCAGTATCCCAAACCCTAAACCCTAAACCCTAAACCCTAACCCTACCCTTAAAGGATGCCTCTAACTCCATCGATAGCACCTGGTTCTCTGCTGCTAACCACTAAACCTCCAGAGAGCCTCTTTTGCGTACCCCTGTGTATAGGGTTTAGGGTTTAGGGTTTAGGGTTTAGGGTTTAGGGTTTAGGGTTTGTGAATGTGTGCAGCTGGGTGCCCCCTGAGGTGTATGCACCTGGAATGACGGTTTGGCGGCTGTTTGAAAACCCTGAGACTGTGCAGTTCCTGCACCGTCTTCTCGCTTACTCAACCCTCGTCTTCTCTTTTATTCTTTATCTTAAACATAAACACAAACCCTTTCCTGCAGCTGTTAAGGTATGCTAGCCAGCCACCCCTAGGGTTTAGGGTTTAAGGTTTAGGATTCAGAAGGGGTTTGGTCGCGCTGAGAGACCCCACTCAATGCTTGGTTGTATTGGCTCATCTTTAAAAGGAAATTCGGGGCTAGGGTTTAGGGTTTAGGGTTTAGGATTCAGGGTTTAGGGTTTAGGGTTTGCGTTACAGACAGCCATGAGGCTGCTGCCAGCAATGACGTCGCTGCAGCTGCTGCTGGGGATATTAACAGTTTGTTATTATGTACCAACGGAGCTAGGGGTCCTGCATCAGGTTCGTGCTGCTGCTGCTGCTGCTGCTGCCGCTGCTGTTGCTGCCTCTGGTGCTGCTGATACTGCTGCTGCTGCTTCTGCTGCTGCTGCTTCTGCTGCTTCTGGCGCTGCTGATGCTGCTGTTGTTGTTGTTGCTGCTGCTGCTGCTGATTCCTGCGGTGCTGTTGCTGCTGCTGCTTTTGCTGCTGCTTCTGCTGCTGCTGCTGCTGCCGCTTCCTGTGATGCTGCTGCTGCTGATGTTGTTGTTGCTGCTGTTTTTGCCGCTGTTTCTGATGGTGGTGGCGGTGCTGCCGCTGCTATTGTTGCTGCTGCTGCCGCTGCTGTTGCTGCTGCGGCTGCTGTTAGTGTAGCAGCAATCGCAGCTGCAGCAACCCCTGCGTCCGTTTAGGGTTTAGGGTTTAGAGAGGAGAAAACCGTTTTTATTTTCGTGTGTATATGCAGGCTGGTGGTTTGCTGACGCTAAGCAGCGCCATTTATCTCATGCATCTCTTGAAGCGACTCAAACCCTAAACCCTAAACCCTAAACCCTTGCACCTGAAACCACCAGTTTAGGGTTTGACTGTTTAGGTACTCCTCCTTTAAACCCTCAACCCCGGAACCCGCTGCAGCCTTCAACTGCATTTGCATCTGCAACAGCAGCTCCTGCTGCAGCTGCTGCATCTGCTGCAGCAGCTGCTGCAGCTGCTGGTTCTGCAGCAGCAGCTCCGGCTGCAGCTGTTGCTTCTGCCGTAACAACTCCTGCTGCAGTAGCTGCTGCTGCACCTGATGCATCTACAACTGCAGCTGCTGCACCTGTTGCATCTACTACTGCAGCTGCTGCACCTGTTGCACCTACTGCTGCAGCTGCTGCAGCAGCAGCAGCAGCTGCTGCTGCTGCAGCAGTTTGGGGATTGGCGTTACGTAAGACTTGTCTCTTCTCAGTCTCTGTTTTTTTCTTTGCCTTCTTCATTTCTTTGTTTATCTTTGTTTCTCTTTCTTCTTTTATTTTTATTTAGATTGTTTGTTTTTATTTCTATTTATATTTTAGTTTGTTTTTTTTCTTTTTGTTTTATTTTCATCTTTGTTTATTTTCATTCTCTGTCTTTGTTTTTTTCTTCGTTTTGCATCTGCGTGTTGTCAGTCTTTCGCTTTTCTTCGTTTATTTGTTTTGTGTTTAATATATATAAGTATAAATATATATAGATCGGAAGAG